CTTAACAGTATCGTAAGGTTGAGATCGGACGTCAGCATTTTTATCAGGCGCCTCTGGCAGCCGCTTCAGTCCCTGTAGCGATCTCACCTTCCCACCCATCCCACCCCGGGGAGGACATCCACTACACAGTAATCTCGTGCATGGGAAAAGTAGGTCTCCTACCCCTAACCCTGCAGGAGATGGGACCTACGGCTTTATGTCTTATCTGAGAAGACGAAGCAATGCGAGTGAAGCGTCTTGCTTAAGGACACAACGTCATGCTCCAGCCAGGACTTGAACCCACGCCAAACGACCCAGAGTCCAGCACACTGACTACTGGACTACTCACAGTTTGCAACATAAGCCACCTCACATGTAAAGGTGCAAGTGACTGCAAGATAATTTGAATATAAAAATTCATTACAAATCATTACTAATCCCATTCCATTACTTTACAGTGTTTCCTTGGGCTGTTCCTCAGACAGAACATACCAGTGACACTCTTAGGGCAGAAGATGGTAGGTATTTTAGTTTATATTTTCATTTCATCTGGTAGTCATCCTGAGACAACCATAAACAAATGACCTTAGTTTCTAAAACAGCTTGAAGCATAGCAATTGAAATATATTAGTACTAAGAATTAGGTGTGGACAATTGTTATATGTTATTTTTCTCCTTCAGCTGCAGCAGTCCGAATTGGATATGAAGAACACATGCCTGGACAGGTGAAAATAGTTATTATAAGTATAGTTGAGAGATGATCTATTGTAGAAACACTAATTTGAACCTTTCTGTTCACCTCTTAACTTTGGCAGGAAACCACACCTCTCCTCAGTTTTCCACAATTCCACAATTCCACCATTTTACAATGGATTAACTAGGATTTCAACCCCTTTTTGCATCTCAATTTTTAGATTGTTCATTCAGCAAAGTATGGTTGATCTTTTATGACTTTTTTATGCTAATATTCTAAGCTTGAATTGTACCATGTGACCTGAATCTTTGTGTTTTATTATTTTTCAGCTACGTGATTGGAACGAAGAACTGCAGTCTGCCAGGGAATTGCCAAAGGAAACCATGCAACAGCGTCTTCTAAGAGACAGGGCAATTTTTAAGGTACTGTATTTAAGTGTTTATAAGTCAACCTTTTATGACCAAAAAATCAGCCCAAAAAAATCACCCCAGACTTACACACAGGTCATATACAAGGACCTGGCCTAAGCAATCCAAGAAATTAGCAGAACAATTACCTGTAGTCTGTTAGGAAAACCGAGTTTACAAAACCAGTTCTAATTGTGTTTGAGTTTTGTCAGTTTTCAGTGAGTTCTTGATCGACGAAAAAGTTTGAAATTATAAATCTTATGTGGCTTAAACAGAAACCTACTGGAGCTGATTTTTATTGTATTTTCTGATCTGTTCAGCAGACATTTTTCCTGGTAGCTTACCAACCTGACTAATATTGTTTTCTTGCGTGTTCTTGTTTGATATGGTGTTGTTTTCATCAAGTGATCCTTCGAAGCTCTTTGGTGTTCCTTCGGTCTACTAAATCTCCTTTCAAACTCAACATTAAGATAAAGGTTATTTAAATGCATGAAGATTTCATCTTCAAAGTGATTTAGAAAATATGGTAAATTACTTCTCCAGTAATTATTGAAGTGCTCGTATATGCTTAAATCATGAATAGTGGTGATGTAAACAAGTACTACTAAACTTCTCAGCACACGGCTACATTTTGCTCTGCAGTTGTTTTTACTTCACTTTGTTTTCATTACATTCTCAGAAATAAGAGATCAACCATTGGGGAAATTTCTATTGGTCTGAATTTTTCTTTAACTAGAAATGGCGAAAAATCCAATTTTTTGACCTTGAAAAGGGTGGGTCCACTTATACTCAGGTTCGACTTATACACAGATAAATGTGAGACTATCTACAAAATAAGAGAAAATTTTGCCTGTGGAACCAAGATATTTTATTAGTGTGAAGTGAACACATTACGCTGTTTTTCAAATTTACTTATTAAAGTTTTCTGTCATTTTCTTGTAGATCACAAGTGATTTTGTTTCTGCTGCAACCAGAGGTGCAATGGCTGTTGTTGATGGTAATGTCATGGCAATAAATCCAGGAGAAGATGAAAAGTAAGTTTTTTACCTATTGATGATATAAAAGTGCAGAAGAGTATAGCATAGTTCAGAATCCATGAGATTCAATTGTCAGGGACATTGACTGATGTTTTCACAACCTAAAGAGACAGTGTTATCTAAGTGTGTGATTGATTAGTTTCAATCTTTCAGTGATGCAAGGAAGCAAAGTAACTTATTGAGTAAGTAGCTGTATTGTGCTGACAAAAAAAAACTCATGGATGTGTTATTCCATTAGGAAAAGGATGTTTATCTGGAACAACATTTTCTTTAGTTATGCATTTGATAGCCGAGACCACTTTGAGGCTGTAGGAGGTAAGCTGACAACTGAGAGGAACTTTGAATTAGACATTTAAATACAACAAAACAATTAAGATTTTTGTTTTATTCAATCTCATGTCAGTAGATTCTGAGACCGAGAAGAATTAAATTTCTTATCTTAGAGAATGTGATGCTAAACATGAACATTAGTATTAGTTTTAACTTAATTAAGATTTATTTGATGAAGATGTTATTGGGAAGGCTTGTTTTAAAAATACAAATTCAAGTATAGCTAGGTCAGAATTGGTGAATAGAAAACAGGGTTATGAAAAAAACAAGTTTCTGGAACAAAAACACAAGTAATTAACTTGAAATCTCCGAACCTGAAAAGAAATTAAACTATCACTAATTCTGTTTATTATATCACTTTTTTCAGGTGATGAGGCTGCATATGCTGCTGCTGTAAGTTTTCAATTATTGTTAGTTGCTGGCTTGTTAAAAATCGATATGTCTCCATAGTAAGAACTTATTAAGGGGGCATACTTTCTAATAACATTATAACTAATATGTGGTATTCATTTGAGAATTACAAAACTGCAAGTAATTTTGTGGTCTTTTCTGCAGGGAGGAGATCTCCGTGGGGTTATGGCATATAACAGACTGGACACACAGGTTTGTGATTTAAGATAAAACTGTAGGTGCCATTGAGAGTTCTGTTTAGAGGGTAGAGAGAGTAAAGTTGCTTGTTTCCCTCAGACTGTTTAGGGAAAATAAAACTCCTCCACAATTGATTGAACTGTTTTAAGGGGAAAAGTTTCTTTAAAAAAACTGTTGTGCTGCATCAGTAGCGATAACACAAAATTAATGGCAAACACTCAAAAGGTCAGCTTTCAAACTCTTTATGGTGGCCAATTTACATAATCAACTCAGTTGATAAAACCAATATGAACTGTTTGATCTGTATCTTTATGATTAACTTAATTTTATAACAGGCCAGTTGATACACGATGGATATCTGTTTTCTTCAGGGTCTCTTCACTCTCAGCACAGTTATTGTAGATTACCGTGGTTACAGAGTCATTGGTCAGTCCATCATTCCAGGTAAAAATTTTCAATTTTTGCCTGTTATTCACATGTGAACAATCGCTTCAATTGTTGAATCAACCTGGGATGAGAGGAGCAAGAGTCGTGTACTTTGTGGAGATGTCTGTGCTCATTTGAACTGCATTAGGGAAATATCTATTTTTTTATTAATAGTGTGCAACCGGTGATGACATGACCTTGTGTGCCTGGTGCACAAAGTCATGTAACTTTATCAGTTCATTAAATATATTGAATGTGTATTCTTCAGGAATTCTCCAGCGTGAACAGGAGCAGTCGGTTATTTATGGTTCTGTAGACTCGGGAAAAAATGTCTCAAGTCATGGGAAGTTTTTGGAGCTGGTGAGAGAATTAACAAACACATTATTAGTAATAAATTAATATTATTCTGTTAAAATATTCATCAGGCGTCATTTGCAATTAAGGATTATTGTTGTAAGGTCTATTGTTGAATGAACTAAGCTGTTCACTAGGTTAATGATAGTAACAATATCATTATGTTTTGTGTCACTTTCAGCTTCACAATGCTGGCAAGTCTATACGAATAAGACCACACAAGTATGGAACCTTTCATCTCTCATACGCTACTGAATGTGTTTCGTGTAGTCGTTTCTTTGAATGTGAAGTATGGAATAGCTGGCCTAGCACTTTAAACTTGAACTTAATTGTATTTTAATCAGTTGCTAATCACACATTGAATGTAAAAGGGGTCGATTGCGCAAATTGAGTTAATTGCCTGTGTTGTCGTAGATTGTAGCTTACTCAAGCACATGCAATGTACAATCTCAAAACTGATGACCTGTAATGATAAAATTTATTTTGACTAATTTAATTTATTTATCTTTTATCAGTTGTGCTGATTAATTTGTTAATATTAGTTAGTTATTGATATTAATTACCTGGTAGGGTTCTCAACTCAGATGGTGAGGAAGTCGAACTTTGTTCTTCAGTGGAATGTAAAGTGAGTAAACTCTGATTTTTTGCCCCAACTGAACTGTAGTCAAGGATTCTGGCTTGAGAAGCTGGTGATTTACTAAAAATCTCTCTGAATCTTTGAACCAGGGCATCATAGGGTCTGATGGGCGACATTATATTTTGGATCTGTTTAGAACTTTTCCACCAGATGCTAACTTTTTGGGAGGTAAGTGACTAATTTTGAGGTCATGGTAAATGTTCACTAGCAGGGGATGTAAGTTGTAGCATATCTGTAGCTATTTTTAGCAGGTTATGCTCATGATTTTGTGTATTCTCCAAAAGTTGTGTGCATAAAAGTTGAACTATCTTTTTTCTTTCATTAGAGAGTAAACAAAGCACTGATAATGAAGATGAAAAAGGGAATAAGTTTGTGTTTCCTCGCCCATATAAGCACAAACTTTGTTGTTTGAGACCTGAACTTATTGAGGGATTTGTTGCGTAAGTATTCATGCTTAAGAATAGTTTGAGTTTTTGAAAGCACGTTTTAGTTGTTGAACTAATGCTCTGTGTTTTTTCCTAAATTTTCTTACAGGTTGCGATATGTACTTTTCCTAAAGTTAGTGGCTATGCATGTGTCAGCTGCTAAACAGAAGGAATTGCAGGTAAGCGATGAAACAGGGAATATCTGTCCTTGGCTAAGCATTTTTCCACAATGTAAGTGAGGTTTAAGACACACACTGACAAAACTGACAAATAGACGTACTGATAAAGTCCTCTGTTTGCCAAAACAAAGAAATTAGTTGGAAAGTAAACCGCCTGGAAATTTACCAGAGCAATCCACTTACATGTTTTACAGTTAGGTAATGAGCTGCATGCAAGTGAAGAGATATCCCTTCCACACTTCCACAGATGGAACTGACTCACTGTTCAACCTCATTTAATTGCAGAACAAGAATGTGGAAAAGCCTGTAGATGATGCAGAAGATACAAAGATTGAGTGTCCATACAAAAATAAGCAAATCAGTGAAGAAAGTGATACCAAGGGAGGCAGTAAATTAGAAGATGCCGTGAAAGAGGCAGAGGAAAGTACATCTATATCACCTGACAATTCCACAGGTCAGTTAAAGAAACAAACCAAATGGTATTGAGAAAGAGATTTAAGCTGATTAACATTGCAGACTTGAAGCAGATTTGTGTCAGAGTAGGGATGGTGCTCTGGGAAGAGTGCTCACCTCTTACTGTTGTAGCCTCTGTCTGTTCCGAGACTTGGCATTACTTTTGGGTAGAGAGTTTTGTTGGTTCTCAACTAAAACAGAGTAAAATCAAATTTTGATGTTTTTTTTTTTATCCTAATTTCTCTCAGATGCAGGTGACATTTCATCAGATGCAATTAAATCAGCCTCTAAAGCTGTTGGTTCAATTAGTGAATCAGGTTGGCACTTTGACATGTTTCACCACTGAAAGCTGTGCTTATTAATAACGTAGAGTCATTTTTAAAGCTTGAATTATAGTTGAAATAAACATTTTTTAAAAATGTTTGGCTGTGTAGCCGCGTGATGCGGTTCCAGGCAATACCCACTAATTGACCCTTGCTCACCATAGAGTCTCCTGTAGCTCAGTGGTTAGAGCATCGGACTAGATCAAGGAGGGTCGTGGGTTCAAATCCCTTCTGGAAACTGGATTTTTAATGAATTATAGTTAGACATAATGCAACACACTACATCTTTTTTAACCTGTTTTAGTGACTTATAAAAGTAAATGAAACTAATAATCATAGCTGATGTTTTCTCTACTGCAACAGAGTTTGATGTAAGATTTAACCCCGACATCTATGCACCTGGAATAAAGCATGCACCTTCCGAGGTAATGTTTTTTTTTCTTTCAGAGGATGCTTGTGTATGCATTTGCTGCCTGTGCAATCAATGTGCACAGCATTCTACAAAAAATATAGATTGATTTTTAAATGAGTGTGGCAATGACATACAGAGTCATTTACCAAATGCTATTTTTTTTAATCTAGGAGGCTGCATTGTCTTGTGACAAGCTATTAGTGCAGGATGCATCTGACTTTTTAGTGGAAACAGTTATTATAAAAATGGTTAGTAGTTGCCTTATATTTTCCTAAAAAAGTGTTGACCAGGGCCTCAGAAGACCCATTTCAAGGCTGTGGTGTAGCAGTACCCAGTGGCCCCTGGCACCTTACTTTTGCTCTTGGGCAACTCAGGATTTTTAGTTTTTTTCATACAAAGCATATGCTGGGCACCCTGGATTTCACAGGTTCAGTGCACTGGTTTCCATTCAATTTTCCTTAGAGCACAGCCTTACATTTTGTGTCATCCTGTCTCATTCATACACATCAATGTTTCAGGTGGAAGATTTTATAAGTTTATCCCAGACACCATTGGATGGCTCACAGTTATCGGAGATTATGCACAGTAGGTACGTCATCACTTAGCTATGTACCCTTGAGAAACAACTCAGGTCTTACAGGAATAAATTTAAAAGCAAAAATTTAATAGCAAAAAAAAAAAAACAGAAAAAGAAAAAAAAAAGAAGAGAATGTAAGAATGAGACCTTTTCCATGGCCTTGTATCTTTGTGGAAGCAGGAAGAGGGTGAGCAAGTGACCTTTCAGCAGTAGTGTTAAGTATGATCTCTGGTGGAATCTTCTAGTGTGGCAGTGGTTTTTGTAGGGTAAGAGCAATCAATTTGAAATGTCAATTAAATGTCAAATGAATTGTTGTCTTTTGATAGGGGAATCAACATGAGGTACTTGGGTAAAGTGGCATCCATTTTGGCTTTGCGGGCAGATCTTGAGCATGTATATGTAAGTGTACCTGATTACAAATGAGATTCTTATCCACTGAGTGGGTGGTCAACAACAACAACTTTTTACTCAAAAAAATTGTTTCCCTATGCATAATGATCAAGGGACCGTCAAAATGATTTGCTTTTGTTTTATGTAGAAAATTGCTGTACAGGAAGTGATCACTAGGACTGCAAAGCAACTGTTTAAACTGCACATGCAAAGTGGTTAGTCTGTAATATTTCACATTGTATGTTTTGTTTTTTAGTAGTAGCAATAATTCATGCTATTATTTTTTTCATGCCTCAAAGTTTTCACATCAAAGTAATTGGAAGTTTTTTTGTTTTTTTTTTTTTAACCTAATGGTTACAAAATGATCTTTTCTTTTCTTATTTTTGATAGGTGTTTCATGACATCGAGTCAGAAATTTTTTAATGACCTATGGTTTCTTTTTTTGTTGTTGTTGACAGCAAATTTGAGGACGCTTTCAGTTGCAGTTAGTCACTTTTTTAATTGCTATCTGGTAAGTGACAGGATTCTTTGATCTTAAGGGATTAAATTTGTCACATTTTTAAAACTTGGTTCAACAGGTCTTAAAAGGTTGGGAAAACACTTTGACAAGTTAAGGAAGTTCATGCAGAAAACCAGTGTGTCAGGTTTTCAAAAAGTGGTTTTACTTGAAACAAATATAAGGGAAACAAGCTCAGTCTTCTCTTTTCCTTGGATCATGAGTACATGTACATGGTAACTTAGATATACATCTTCAAAGCATGTTTCTTTATTTTCAGGGTGTATATCCCAATCCTCAACCTCATCTTCCCACTGAAGAGGTATAGTATGCTATCTGTTGAGTTAATTTTTTCAGAATTTTAGTTGGTATGTCTTTTATGGTGGGAGTTGAGGGGGCCTTAGTTAATGATCAGCCTGAAGGACTGGAGTTCAGGAAGTGTAGAGTTCAAGCCCTTGGTGAGGAAAAGCTTGATTACTAGCTACTGTCAAGGAAATGCTCTTATGCTCCTTTGAGGGGAGGATTGCAGAATAGACCAAGGAAAAAGGGGTTAATCAACTCCTGATGAAGCCTGGTGATGTCATCCTGGGTATTGGATAAGCTGCCATTACACTACTTGAGTATAAGTGGGTACTAGCAAATTGTCAGGGAAACTAATTTGAATGCTGCCTGGCACAGCCTTCCTATTGACATGTGTACCTTTTGGTAATCATTTCATTCCCTCCTTAAGGTCATAAACAAGAAGAAAAATAGTAAAAGGAAACCATTGAAAACATCAGTAAATGGAGGTAAATTGAATGAAGAAATATAAGGAACATGTATCTTTTTTGATTGTATGAACTATCACTTCTATTTTTCCTATTGTTTTAGTTCTACTCTAATTTTTGTTTTTGGACATTTTTTTAAATTAGTGATCTTACCAATGTGAAGAATTTGAACCACTTTTTATCCTGAAATATTTCTTAGCTGGCCAGCAACCAATTTGTGGCTCAGTTGGTAAAGAATAAGATGGCAGATATGTATCTGTCAAGGGTCCAAATCCTTAACGTGACTTTTTTTTTTTTTTTTCATATATCCCTGAAAAATGTTAGAGGCTTTTCTTTATGTTTGTTCATGTCCTTTTTAGCATCAACTGTAGCCTGGGCAACTCTTACTCCAGAGGAACTTTGGAAATCAATTGTTGATAACACAGAAAGGCAATTTGGATTTGAACTTAAATGGTATGGATTTATGTGCAACATTTTTTATGTCATTCTTGGGTATTATCAATTAATATTGTTATCTGCCTGTGCTTTCTCTTTGCAGCAAAAGCAGCGATGAAGTTCTCCTGACATACTGCATACACAGAATTTCCCTGCTGAGGTCACTCTGTTTAAAAACAGGTGAATTGACTCTAGAATATTAAATTTTTCATGACTGTAATTCTTTTTGGTTTCTATCATGCAATAGTGAACTGTAATAGAAATAACAAATTAATTATTCACAAGTTAATTGCTTCTGCTTGTCTTCAACAGGTGTCCAGATATTATTGCGAGAGTATGATTTTGAGAGCAGGAAACACCCAACTTTCACAGAAGATGACATAATGAATTTGTTTCCAGTAATAAAACACACCAACCCAAAGGTGAGTTAAGTGGTACATGCTTTGTTCTTGTGTTCAAAAGTCAAAGGGGTGACTGAGTTATTATGTCACCTGTAGCATCAAAGCAATACATCTGTTAAATGATACTCCTTCAACATGTTTGCAGGCATATGATGCATCAGCAATATTTGAAGCAGCCCAAGGCCGCCTTCAAGGAGGTAGATATCACAGAGAACAAGCTCACCTTCTCAAATTTCATTATGTATAAAATGATATACAATGTTTGAATGTGAGGTATCTGTATTCTTGTCTGGTTCAGGTCTTCTTGGTGAAGCACATGAACTCATGGTAGAAGCTCTCAATCTTTTCCATCAAGTGTATGGTCCATTACATCCTGATATTGCCACTTGCTACAGGTATAACTCATCTTTTGCTTTGGTAAGACCACTACCCATTACTGCCCTGGTGTTAGACTGAGAGAGATCTCTAAGATGTTTAATTTTTAACTAGCTATTCAATGCTTGAATAATTTTTAAGTGGAAATTTGGTGACAACATTTTAATAATGATTGTCCAAAATATTTTGTTACTATGACACTTATTTTGAATCCCATAGCAGTAATAAATACTGTCTGTTAATCAACTCAAAAATTCGTATGATTTTGCTCTTGGTTTATCTTTTTTACCCTTTTTTTTTTAAATTGGATTTTATTTTGAACCATAGGGCAATTGCAAGGCTTCATTACTTAGCTGAAGATGCTGTTCAGGTCAGTGTAAGCCCCGCATGCTGATCTCTGTAAACTATTGACTACATAATAGTCAGAGGTGCTGCAACCTAGCAATTAGCACTGTGGATCCTAGATTAATGTTGTTGGAGTTTCGACCCAGCCAGGCTAATTATTGTATTGTGTTCCTAGGGAAGAAACAGTTGTTCTCTCTACCCAGGAGTAGAAATGGGCACTAGCAAACTATTAGTAAACTTAATGGAATTCAAGGGGGTTGCCTTTCTTGAAGAAAAAACCAATTGAGGAGGATAAGCAATACTCCTGTATTGCTCCAGTGATCACAATGTTCACAAACTGATGTTTGTAAAATTTATTCAACTTCTTACTTTGCTAAACGAACACTGTGAGAACTAAAATAAAAGTACAAACAAGGTACAAATGCGATCATGTAAATAATCGGATATAAATACATTTCATGTGACTCAAAAGTTACAAGACAAAGGTAAAATAACGATTTACAATTAATGGTACAAGGATGTTGTAAGCAACTTTCTTTTAAACTAAATTTTAAGTCTTACTTCACAAAACTATAAATCACAATCAAAGAAAGGATACAAATTGCTTCTTAATTAAATAAACTGAAAGGGCTTAAAAATATTTACGTTGGTGCTACTGTCACTAGAACAATTAAAAGGTCTAAGCACAGCAGCTAAAACTTCGCTTTCAGTTGAAAAATGTTGCGTTAACTGGTATGACAAGAAAAAACAACGTAAGCTTTATACAGCCTGCGGGCTGTCACGGCGCTTTCATGAGCACTTGCAATATGGCAGAACTTTCTAGAAACGAAAGTAGCACGCACATAATTTTTGAGATAGAATGAATATATGAAGTTCATATATTTTGAACTGCGGTATTAGATACGTATGATGCACGATCCTCGCAGTAGATAGCGCTATTTA